ATCTCCATTTTTGCAAACCTGCATGAGCATCTGTAGCTGGGCACCCTGCTCACAGAGGTGGTTATTTTGAATGTCAGTTGTGAGCACATAAACTATTGCATCCCTTTCTAACTGTTGGTACTCCTACAGTCCTCTGCACATATGATCGTGCAGCTGTGCTGTGCCACTTGCCATTTTTGGGGTATCCCAGTACTCGTGCTGATTTACACACAATAAGCATATGGGCCAGCCTCCCCATATGGAGATCTCTGGCTAATATGGTATTTGCTCCAACGGATGGACCAATCCTTACTCTGGGATACCCCTGTGGATACTTCTCTGCTATTAGCTGCATTGCCAATTATTTAGGCATGGACCTGTAACTCTAAATTCACTACAAATACAGAGATGGCCAAGAGACTGAAAACTAAAGCTGGCAGCCTCAGGTTTATGGTATATGAGTTTATTAAGGGGCTTACTTACAGGGTGAAGCCCTGTGAGGGCAGGGAAGACTAGAATCTCCATGCCCTACAGTGGCAGGCAGGCTCTGATGAACAAAGGTGGCTTCATGCCTGGGCTCTGGACCTCCAAGGCCACTCTAGCAGGTGTTACATAAGAGTGATTTAGAAAGCAGAAGTGAGCTAGCAGAGAGTAAAAGTGAAGCTGTATTTGGTCTTGCAAAGCCTGTTTCCTCTACCACAGTGGTTGAAATGATAGCAACTTTGTGGGACTTAAATTTAGAAAGATTGTATAGGGAGGCATTATCTGGGTTTTGAAAGAAATAGGTGGTCTGTCATTTAGGAGAGATAAACACTTCAATGATATGTAAGAATCAAGCAGTTCTAAATTATGTTTATCAGAATATAGTGATAGTTACTTACTTGAAGGGCAGACTATTTAGTAGACTCAGCAAACTCTTGCTGAGCACATATTACATGTCAGGCACTAGTGATATCTAAGACTGTTGGATCTTTACTGTTAAGTGCCTGCTAGTCGTCAGGGAGGGGCTAGAGCCAAAAATTACACACACACACACACACACACACACACACATATATATATATATATATAAGATACATTGTGATGTAGACTATTACAGGGGTCTAGAGCTAGCACTAAGGGAGCAGGGGAATCTAACAGCCTTAGTGTATGACAATGTCAGGTAAGGCTTCCCAGAAGTTACATTGGAGTGGCTGAGTTTAGAAGAATGTGCATAAATTCACATGTGAAGGCAAACATGGGTATATAGTGGGGAGTGTACCCAAGACCATGTACACGGTTGGGAGACAATAGTTCTACAAGTGTATTTGTATGTTCTGTAAGAATTCCCAGGTGTAGAGCTGACAAGGGACAAGGTTATAGTTACTTCTTGGCCACAGCCAGCTACCCAGAGGGAGTGAGTAGTTGAATTTGTGGGCTCGGGACCATAGTCGCAGGGGACATCAAGCTCAATTGGCATAACACTACACAAAACATTGTTCCACTTCCTACTTTGGCAAGTAGCGACTGGGATCTTAAAAGCTTATAAGCAGCCATCTAGATGCAACAATGGATCTCTCCTTGTCCAGAGGAAAGAAGAATGAAGAAAAGCAAAGATTCATGGAAACAATTAGTCCAAGCAACTGGTACACCATGCAATCCATAGGCTGTACTACTGTGAGACCAGAAGAACTAAATGGTGCCAGGCTACCACTGTCAACCACTGTGAGGGGGCTTTATGTAGGAGATCCTGGATAGAGAAGGAGAACCATGTGGAACAAAACTCAAAATTATTTGGAAAAAAAAAGGGACTAGATTTGCTGGTCTGGTAGAGCCTGGTGGAGCCACTGAGACTGTGGCCCCTAGCTGCCCTTCAGCCCCACAGCCCACACCTGTGGCTTCCAGCCAAACGAAAGACAGGCATATGAGTTGAACATTTACCAGAGGTAGGTACACTCCTTGGAGAGAACAATCATGGGAAGAAGGGCTGTTTATGCACAGGGAGACAGCTCAGGGGCCAGAAGTGCATGGAGAGATGGACACAGGGTAACTATTGGGAGGAAGTGAGAGGGAAACTGTTGCATTGGGATAAATTGTAGTCAATGTCATGAGACATAGTATATGTGAATTGCTTTATGGAAAGTGAATTTGTTCTGTAAACTTTCACCCAAATCACAATTAAAAAAAAAGAATGTGCATAAATTATTGGGGTGGGGTAGGGGAGTAAAATTAGGCTTCAGAGGTTCAAGGAAGAAAGAGACTCCTTTGGTAGGGTGTAGAGAGAGAGAAGAGACAGACTTACTTGATTTGCTGTTATGCCTGAAACTTGCAAAGGAACAACTGAAAATGGGGCTGAAGCAATAATTTACAAGGGTTAGATGTGAAGGGTCTTTTACCAATTTTTGAGTTTGGATTCTATCCTTAGAATGAAGGAAACCTACTAAAAACCAAAAAACCAAACACACTGCCACCGTGTCAGACCTGACTCATAGCGACCCCTCTTTGGGTTTGCGAGTCAGTATCACTATGGAAGCAGATTGTCCAACCTTCCTTGTGAGGAGTGGCTGGTGGCTTTGAACTGCCAGCCTTCTGGTTAGTAGTCAAATGCCTTAGGCACTATACCACCAGAGCTCCCAGAAACCTACTAGAGGATTTTAAATGAATGAATGATAAAATATAGCCCGATCTGTACTTTAGAATGCTTCCTCCAGGAGCAATGGTTTGAGTGTAAGGAGCTGTTATTGTAGTTAGGTGCTGTGGAGGTGATTCCAACTTACAGTGACCACATGAGACAGAGAACAACTGCCTCATAGTGTTTTCTTGGCTGAAATTTTGAAGGAAGTACATAATCAAGTCTTCCTCCCATGGAACTGCTGAGTAGTTGGAACCACCAACTTTTCAGTTAGCAGCTGCACACATAACCATTTGTGCCACCAGGACTCCCATCACATATTAGAAAATTAGAGCTAGGAGGGACCTTAGAGATGATCTAACCCAGCCCTTTCATGTTACTGTTGTTCGCAGTTCACTGGGACAGAGCTGGAGCAAGGGCCCAGTTCTTCTGACTCCCAGCTCATTGTTCCTTCTGTACTTGATTCATTGGTGATCCATTCACTTAGTAGACCAGTTGTCCTAGACTTCTCCGGCCCACAACGGCACACCTTGATCCGAGATTCATTACAAATTAACTGCAGGAAATCTGTCTTTTCCCATAATCAGTATTGGTTGTTGTTTTCTTAGATAGCCCTGCTCTGTTCTTTTGAGTCCCCCTCTTGCCAACTCAAATCTGTTTTCCTACACCCCAGTGCTGCTTCTGCTGGTACAGGTCCTTCCCTCATTGGTCTACAAAAATAGCTGACAATAGGCTATAACTTTTAAGAGCCTTACAGGAGTTTGTTGAATCATAGAAGGGAATTATAATACACAAAAGATAAAACTACATGCTAGATATCAGGATCTCTAGGTCACATATTTCCCAAGAACATAAATTTTAGAGCTACTTTTGGATAGGAAACATTTTCTGAAAGGAAGCATAACCTACAGAAATGTAATTCTGCCCCTAAAGAAGATAACCTTTTTATATTACTATGTAGGAATAATTTATTTGCATGAGCCATGTTTCAGGTTTGGTTTTGGTTTGGTACTGGAAATTAACCCCTTGCTATCAAGTTGATTCCAACTCAAGAGTGACCTGAATGGCAGAGTAGAATTGCCCCATAGTGTTTCCAAGGCTGTAAATATTTATGGAAGAGACTGCCACGTCTTTTCCCACAAAGCTAATGGTGGGTTCGAACTACCCACCTTTCAGGTAACAGCTGAGTACTTAACCACTGTGCCATCTGGGCTCCTTACTGGAAATTAGAATCTTTGATTTACTTATGCATAACCAAAACTAATTTAAATATTTTCTCAAAAAAGAAGTTACCATCTGGTCATCTTGGCTCTTTTCACTATGGTTGTGACCTTCACAAGGACCTCCATGTTCTTTCATCGTACCCTTACGTGAACATAATGCCATCCATCTCCTTCCCTCTACTAGGGGAGAAAACCATGGTCAGGATTTACTCACCCTAAGAGTACATTCTTCTTCTGTGCCTTTCTCTCTTATTACCACTCACGCCCTCACTCTTATTCCCCTTCTAATTCTTCAGATGTTTTGAAAACAGATTATTTTTCTCTATCTTTACTTGTTTCCCATTCAATCCTTGGTTGTCTCCGATTTGGCTAGTTGCTACAATTCCACTGAAGGTTTGTTGTTCTTATGTGCTGCCAAGTTGGACCCGACTCATAGCGACCCCTCCTTGGGTTTCCGAGGCGGTATCATTACGGAAGTAGATTGCCCAACCTTCCTTCCGAGGAGTGGCTGGTGGGTTTAAACCACCAGCCTTCTGGTTAGCAGTCAAGTGCTTTAGGCACTATGCTACCAGAGCTCCCTGAAGGTTGTTATGTGCCGTCGAGTCAGACCTGACTCATAGCGACCCCTCCTTGGGTTTCCGAGGCAGTATCGCTACGGAAGTAGATTGCCCCATCTTCCTTCCGAGGAGTGGCTGGTGGGTTTCAACCACTGGCCTTCTGGTTAACAGTCAAATGCCTTAGGCACTACAGTGGTAATAAAAATGCCTTCAAAGGTAACAGAGCAATTATTTATAATATGTAATTAGTAATTTCTTAGTTGTAGAAGAGATTGTAATTTAAGAGTATATTTCTTTAATTTGCAAAAAATATAAATATTCCTGCTTTTAGCCAATACAGTTTGTCATAATGCATAATTACTGAAATTTGGGCAATGGAGTTACAACTTTATGGGGATGGTTAAGTTCTAAAGCCAGAGCTTAGAATTAAACTTCCCCTTTACAAAACCCCTTATGTATGTGTGGGCAATGTGTGGTTTTGTTTATACATTACTGACTTTCAATAAATACTTAACAGTTTGTTTTTCCTTCAGCAATAAACCTATTGTTGCTACTTCAGTTGATAAGGTGGCTTCTTTTTAGCTGTCATGTTGTAGATATATAAAGCCTTCTTGTTTGATTTCATCCTAGGTATGAACTAATACAGAAGGGAGTAATTGAACTTAGAAATATTGAGAATGTTCCAGATGTTTATACTCAGAATATGGTTTTAGAAAATGAGAACAAAAATTTGAAGAAAGAATTGAAGCACTACAAGCAGGCAGCTGAGTAAGTTGTTTTTCTAAATTACTATTAAAAATATATATTATTTTGGACTATGTAAAAGTAAGGGTTGAAGGAGGCTAATGTGTGAATGGTGGTTAATGTACCAGAGCTTTACTTTGGGAGAACTGTATTGTGTTTAAGTTCTAGTTGGGAAGAATATAAAAGGCTTCACTAGCAGATTAACTGAACAGATGACCAGGACTCACATGGGTACAGTTCATTGATGAGTAGAATGTAGGCGGTTGTGAGAGAAACATGGAATTTGTTATATAACATTCACTTAGATATTTGATCATCTTTTTATGGATTATGAAATGTTCTTTTGTGAACATAAGCTAATTTCTGAAACAATAATGAAATTATAGAAATCAGAGCGGAAAGAAGGAGTAGATGAACTTCATGATTTGAAAATTCCTTAGAGGAAATCTTTGTTTTGTAATTGCTTAGCATGAATTTATGCATAGAGGAAAAGCCTAGCAGTTTGCAGCTAAATCACTGCACTTTTCCTCTTTTTTTTTTTTTTTTTTTAAATTAATGAAAGGCATGCAGTTTGCAGCAAACAAATTTAGACAAGCAGCCAGTGGTATTCTGGAAAAGGCAAAAATGTGAATGTGTTGACTTGGGTGAATCTACTTGTTTAAGGTGATGCTATATGGAAAATCACTCCTTGTTATGGACTTGAGACAGTTTATGCTTTATTTATTCATTTATTTTTATTGAACACGTTTTAGGAGGACTTTCTCTGTTAAAGAATCTTACTAAAACAAAAATTAGATTAGCAAACTACCATTTTGTGTGTGTGTGTGTGTGTGTGTTACATGCCGTCGAGTCGGACCCGACTCATAGCGACCCCTTCTTGGGTTTCTGAGGCAATATCACTACAGAAGCAGATTGTCCCATCTTCCTTCCGGGCAGTGGCTGGTGGGTTTGAACCACCAGCCTTCTGGTTAGCAGTCAAGTGCCTTAGCCACTGTGCTACCAGAGCTCCCAAACTACCATTTACGAAAACAATATTTTAAAGATCTTTGTAAAAAATTTTTATGCAAAGAAGCAATACTACTGATTGCGAAGTAGAAGAAATATTTAGATTTATTCTAAAATAAACCTCTACTTTTAAAAGGAGGCTTTAAATAAAGGATAATTAGTATGGTAATTTAAATCAAATATTATGTACATTTGTAGAAATATTTCTACAAGGTATGTAAATGTCATATTTTCTATGGCTATACTATACTGTATGTCATTTTAAAATTTACATTGTACATGGAAGTACATAATGATCCACAGATTGATATGTTTTTAGAACCAGTGTTCCCTCTATTCTTGGTTCCATTTCTCAGAAATGGTTTGCTCTGTTTGTCTTAATACTTTTGTGATTTTGTGTAGACACCTAATGGATGTGCTGGGAACTTGACACAGCAAATTTTTCAGAGTGCTGCTTGGCATATTGTTTCAGTTTCTCATTTCCTTTGAATTATTACTTGAGTTTGCTAATTTTCTTTTAAATAGATATATTCTCTTTATGCAATGAGTTTTACCCCAGTGGCATTAAATAATCATTGTTGATTACTGGTTGTTTATTGAATATTATTTAATAACTATAATCAAAATGATATAAACTATTACCAATGCAAATTATTGATTTAATTTTTAAAAACACCATGATTAAAACAGGTATTGATCAAATGAAGTCTGTCTCTTGTTTGTGTGTACTAAAGTATCTGGTTATATAGTTTTAGTTTCTATAAGTTATACGTATCTTTCAAGTATATCTCATTTGATATAAGCTCTCAGAAATCAGAAAAGGAAAATATTTATTCACTTTAAAATACCTGACATGGCAACTCTGAAGAAAAGCTGTTTGACCCTTAGTTGTTGTTGTTGTTTGCCGTCAAGTCGGCCCCGACTCATGGCGGCCCCCCTTGGGTTTCCAAGGCAGTATCACTATGGAAGTAGGATTGCCGTAGATCTTAGTATTTGTTGAATTCATGTTTTCACAGCACCTTTAGACCTCTGGTGGCATGGTGCCTAAGGTATTGGACTGCTAACCAAAAGGTTGGGGGTTCAAATCCACCAGCTGCTCTGTGGAAGCAGAATGGGACAGTCTACTTCGGTAAAGGTTTCCAAAACTAAAACTCACTGCCATTGAGTCGGATCTGACTTGTAGCGATCCCTCCTTGGGTTTCTGAGGCAGTATCACTACAGAAGTAGATTGCCCAATTTTCCTTTCGAGGAGCAGCTGGTGGGTTTGCACAGCCAGCCTTCTGGTTAGCAGTCAAGTGCCTTAGGCACTAATGCCTCGTAAACCCAATAGGGGTTGCTATGAGTCAGACTCTGCTCTATGGCAATGAGTTTGATATTTGTTTTATTTGGTAAATATGTTTCTATAGCCTAGTTCTATTGGATACATTCTCAGAAAATGCAAATGAAGTGTTTTCTTTTTTTAAATTCCAGAGTTGTATCTTGTCATGCTACAGGCTTGCACCAATTGTGATGCTTTTCTTAACTAGGTTTTTCAGTTTGACTTGTAAGGATATTTTTCCAATAGGGATTAGTGATAGACATCAAGTTCCTTTTATGGAATTTGACATAATTTTTTTTTTTTTTTAGATTGGGCTATTGTTTTTAAAAAATTAAATGTAGACATTAAATATCTTTCTAATAATAAATTTTTCATATGCAAAAGGGGTCAGCTTATAGACAGGTCATGTATTGGTATTGCACTTGAGTATACTGATAGCATTTAATGTTATATGTAGAAAAACTAAATAAATAATGTGATTATATAGTTAATATTTGTCGGGGGGGGAGAGTTGCCATGCAAAGAGTGCTAAACTTAAAATTCAAATACCTGTTTTCTGGTATTCTGGTACTTATTAACTCAATTTTCTTATTATTAAACAGGGCATAATTATACATAGTATCATTAACTCCTAGGGAATTTTTATTACTTATTTGTCTCCTCCTAAGGAGCTTTCATGGCGTAGTGCCTAAGGCATTTGACTGCTACCCAGAAGGCTGGCGGTTCAAAACCACCAACCACTTCTTGGAAGGAAGATTGGACAATCTACTGTAGTGATACCACCTCAGAAACCCAAGGAGGGGTCGTTATGAGCCAGATACAATTCGATGGCAGTGAGTTAGAACATGATGTGATAATAACATGAGACAATTGATATTGAGGAGCAGTGCAAATTATAAAGTGCTTTGAAAATGTCAGTTATCTCAAAAGTGTAGTGCCTAAGGCACTTGACTGCTAACCAGAAGGCTGGCGGTTCAAACCTACAATCTACTTCCATAGTGGTACTGCTTCAGAAACCCAAGGAGGGGTCGCTATGAGTCAGGGCCGACTCAACGGCACATAACAACAACACAACAATCTGTAAAGGCTGACATCCCTAGTTTTTTTTTGTTTAATTATCACATATTTAATATTTTTGAAATCCAGCAGTGATGAAACATGGAGGAGAAAATGAAAGGGGAAATATTTCACTCTAAAACATCATTTGAATTTTTATAGTTCAAGCAAGAATTATCTTTTCCTGTCTTATAAGCATCGTCAATTTTGAAACAAGAAGAGATTTTCAATATAGTACTGTAGATGTAGATTTTCTCTAAGATATGTAATGTGGAGAATAACTTTAAGGTAAATTTCTTTATGCTCTGTGGTAGTTAAGGTTATGTGTCAACTTGGCTGGGGCTGGGTTTTGAGTGGCTGGGCAGCTGGATGTAATTATTCCCCACTATGAGCCTGGTAATCAACTTCATGGTGGAATCTGTTAGTAGCTGCCATAGGGATGTGGTCTGCTTCCAGTGTGTAAGAAGACATTTTGCAAAAGGTCTTGAGCTTCTTGGCACATATGGATCCTGATCTTACATTTGGCCAAGTCATCAGTGAGTGGCCTGCCATGTTGTCTCTGATCTTGGGACTGTTTCTGTACTTGAACTAGATGACCAAAACATGCTCTGAGGGGTTAAAAGGACAATATTGTTTTTATTTAAAAAAAATTATAGTTACATTTAAGGTAAAAGTATGTTGCAAACTAGATCCTGGAGAGGAATGATTTAACACATTATTTGATATTCTTACTTGGAAAAGGAGAACATAACTTTAGTTCTGTTGGAATGTATATCAGTTGTTATTTTAAATGAAGTAGAATTTATTAATCTTAAATTAGCAGACAAGTGATGGATTAATGGAGACTAAAAAAGCATTACTAAGAATTATATCATTCACACTTAAGACATTATTTCATAAACCTTGTTTTAATTGAAGGTTGGCATGCCAAAAGATTTACATTGGACTGGTGTCCCTAAATAATTATTAGTATTTTCATTAATTAGTAACCTTTTGGCTTGACCTTGTTGTCTTTATTAACTAGCATTTTATGTCTCTTCATACTGTAGACACAGCAAATAATCTCAACCAATGGTTTACTCCTAATAGAAAGAACCAATGAACCTGTACTTCAAAATCCTATATTCTGGATTTCACCCACTTAGTCTACTGAGGTGGTCTTTGTGGATATTAAAATACTCCTTTTCACACCAAATTTAGCAGTCCTTTTTCTGTCATGATAAATGGAGAAAAATTGATTTTTTTTCAAGAATTTCATTCTGCATGGATCAACAATCAATATCCATAGAAACAGAAGCCAAAAAATCAATCACTGTATTGTATAAAGAAAATCTGCTGTAAAGACTTCTTTAAAGTTCTGAAAAGCAAAGAGGACACTTTGATGACTAAGGTGCTCCTGAAGCAACTCCTGATTTTTTCCGTATGTGCATGTGTAAACTGGACAGTGAAAAAGAAGAGAGAAGAAGAATTGAATGAAGTTTAGTGTTGACAGATAATATTGAAAGTTCTGTGGCTGGATAGAGGAACAAACAAATCAGTCTCAGATAGAAGGTAGCTGAAGTGCTCCTTAGAAGTGAGGATGATGAGACTTGGTCTTGTTCACTTTGAATGTGGCATCAGGAAAGACCTATTGCTAGACAAAGCGTCAT